ATGTAATATCGAGTCCAGTAACATATATCCATCAATGCTGCTGCCTCGCGCTCTGTCCTTCTCTCGCACTTGCAGCTACTTAGCAGTAGGTGTCAGGTTACGTTGTGTTGCATTCAATGTTATCGGAAAAAAGAGTTTCATGCGCTTAATGTCTGATTTGACATAACTATTACTGTATTTGAATGTTGACTGATGGACCTACACAAAAGTAGCACAAAACTAAAGAGTGGAAATAGTGGAAGAAAATAGATGTACATTTGCAAAAAGAAAAAAAAAATCTGAAAAGTGTGGCATACTTTTATATTCAGCCCCCTTCACGGTGACACCCCTTAATAAAGTCCAGTGCACTCAATTGCATTGAGATTTAGGATAATTAATAAATAGAGTCCACCTATTTGCTATTTCATCTCAGTACAAATCCAGCTGTTCTGCAAATGTTTATTAGAAAATATTATTGAAACATTATTGAAAAAGAAAACATTATGAAGATAAAGGAGCCCAACAGGCAGGTCAGGGTGAAATTTAAGAATGTCCAAAGCTTTTAATATCTTACATCTATTAATAGAATAGAACAGAGATTATCGTCCTTTATCAAATCTAAATAAAATAAAAAAAGGCACATCTGCCAACCTGCCAAGACACAGCCATCCACCTACACTAACAGGCTGGGCAACGAGAGCCCAGACAAACAGGCCAAAGGTTACTCTGGAGGAGCTGCAGAAATGCACAAGAATCAAAACCAAATATTTACAATAACTGACAGAATAACCTCAAAAGGATTTCAAAAATATTGGTCGTGCAACACTCCTCAAAGTGCACAAAAAGGAACTGTACTCACTCTGACTTTGATTTCAGGATTGTCCAGTACGATGTTTCTCATCGCCAGCTTGGCCTGTCCTGTGGAGTAGTCATGCAGTAAAGCTGCCAGGCGAATTAAGTTGTCCTCTGTGACTTGGCCCCCATACTTTGAGTAATTCAGCCTTAGCGGAACTCGCCTCTCTGGAGTGTCGCACACAAATGCATTTTTGACAGAATTAGAACAAGCATCATTTCAGAGATGTCCCTGTCCAGACGGTGGCGTGACTCACCTGCACCTGGAGGGAGCTGAACATTCAGCAGGTCTTTGAAACCACAATTTCCCCCCAAAAACCCATTGTAGGACACAGCGCAGGACCCAAACACCAGGCGGCACTTCTTCTCTCCCTCTGTGTGGTTAGTGACAACAGCAAACACGTCAAAGTCGCAGCCCTTCCTCATGTCGGGCGTAACTTTGATGGTGACGTGAAGACCCGGGTCTGGGTTCTGTTGGAGAAGCTTGTTTTGGTGGTTGGCTTTCGTGAATGCTTCGCGCTCTTCATCAGATCCTGGGAATGTGGAAGCACAATGCACTGACTCTCGGGGAGACTTTGTACTTTACGTGGTCAAAAAAAAAAAAAAAAAAAAGAAACATTCAAAATGCTATATATTGTTTTGTCTTTTACATACGAGTTAATAACCTGTTGATAAGGGATTTAGGGAATAACCGAAAGCTTTAACAGCATTTGATTTGACTGTTTCCAGCAGGCGAACACATTTAGAAAAATGAAAATTATGCATGCAACAGATGAAGAAATACTTTGTATTTTCAATAATTACACTTCATCTACTCCAAGGAAAACTAAGCCAAAAAAGAACAGGAGGTGATATTTTCTAATTACATTTATTCAACAGAAGTTAAGCATTTAAATTTGCCAAATGCTTGCGCAGATTGTTAAAACACAGCTGTCTCCTTTATGACCCAATCGATCTCTCACAACATGGCGCAAACAAGTCGGTTCAATTTTTCTTATACAACGTCTTCACTGAGCTTTGCGTGCGTTTGTTTATAGACGGCCCTCTCTAAAGTACAGCCTGATACTTTCAGTGGGGTGAGGTTTGAACTTCGGCCATCTCGATGACTCTATTTGTTTTCCTTTTTGCACCACCGTAGTGGACATTTGTGCCTTCGCTTGGGTTAATTGTTCTGCTCCAGGCTTCGGCTTTTGATGACATCCAGCTGTCAGACAGATAACCTCACATTTCACCGAGGAACTTTCCTGCATAGAGGAGTTCATACTTAACAATAACCTCCAACTTATATAAATGGACTGTGTGGCTGCAAATCTACGAAATGTACTGACAGTTGGTATGAGGCGTTTGAGGACACGTGCTGTAGAAATGTGAGGACTGTGGGAAGCTAATGATGGCTGCACAGTTTGAACTGCCACTCTGAGATCTTTAAGTAAGCATGTCTCAGAGTATTACACAGTTTCACCTCGGTGTGAACTTGCTCATATGTCATCTTTTGAGAGGGTTTTGGCAAACATGTAATTTTTTCCACTTGTGAAATATCTTCCTTACTATAAGAGGGATGGATTTCAAATTCTTTTCAAATGACCTTGCAACCCTTACGGGATTTATGGGCTGCAGCAGATGCTTCCCTGTGAAAACTCCTCATCTAATTTTACGTTGATATTGTGTTATACACTCCTAAACATCTGCTTTAATAGTCACACAGGCTGTTAAGTCCACTTAATAGGTACATCTATATTAAAACTTACAAATTAATTATTTTGAAAGCAGTGAGAGGAGACATAGATTTCTTGACAAGCGTTTTTTTTTTAAAGATATCTACATCCTAAAATAAGGTGTTACAATATCAAATGTTTATGATGCATTTTAATCACATTTAATTCCTGATTTTACAAAGGGGGCATTTAGGCTAGTTAGAATAGTTTGGTTCACCTAAATAAATTAAACTATCATTTGAAATCTACATTTTTTTATTTTCTCTGGTTATCTTTTGATTAATTAATTCATTGTGTTTGTTGATTTAAAACATTTAAAAGTAATAAATATTCTAGAATAGAGGAAATCCATATTGGGGCAAATATTTTTTTACACAAAAAAGTGTAAAAAATAAACAGCTCTTATCTTTTAACTACCATTTTTGTTGCACAAGTGAAAATCTAATGGTAAGGTATTGCTTGGCCATTAAAATATTCAATAAAGGAAGAGTGACTTTCATCTTACCCAATGATATTTAATATGAATGGCCTGAGTGCAAATCAGCCTACAAAATAAAATTTATAAGAGTTTAAAGTCTATTACTTACTTAATTACTTACCTGTCTTTTATATGCAAGTATATCTACGTATTCTACGTATAGAAAATAATTATTTTTACATGTTATGTGGTACCTTCAGGGTACTTGTAGAGGTGAGTGATGTCCTCTCTGCTGTCACTGCCAACGCTCTTGGTGCTGATCATCTGGCCCACCAGTCCGATTGTGGTAACTTTTGAAGTGCTGCCATCCTTTTTCTTCATCATTGTGACAACATCAGCGTTGACTTCAGCGAAAACAAACGGGGCGTCGTACTTGAACGTAAGCTCTCCCTCCTTGATGGCCCTGAGAGGGATGGGGCCGCAGCAATACACTCCTAAGACAAATGGGGACAATGTTAGAACTGAAAATAACAGATAATAGTTCTACAAAACATGTATATTTATTTTAAAAGTATTACCTTCACTCTTCTCCTGGGGAGTGGGGTCACTAGCCTGCCACCCGTCAAAATCAGGCTTGAGGTCAGGTCTGGTCATCCAGCTTTCCACCCAGCAGTGATAATTCCTGGAGATATATTACACAATGTGAGTGTTCATAATACTGCCAATCACTCAGTAAATACAGTGTAAGTGAAGTCTAACCAGATCATGTCTCTGGACTGAATGAGTTCCCCGTTTTCATTGACATAATGCTCAATCACCAGGTTGCTATTGGTGTCGTGGGCAGACAGATAGTTGGTTATGACTCGGCAAGGAATGCCCAATGCTCTGGAAACTAAAACAAAGGAAGATCAAGTTTGCTGTTTTTGACTGACAAAAAATAATGAGTCGTTTTCTCTAAACAGGCCAACAGCCTGCAGTTTCTTACCGGAGCAGGCCACGGCAGCAAACACCCAGCATTGTCCGTAACGAACAGGCTGACAGGACTGAGTGTCCCAATTTCGCAGAATCTCCACGCTGCCACGCCAAAACAAGGGACTGACCCCTCCCTCGTATCCATCTGTCCAGTTTCCCAGCAATACTCCTTTATCATCATTGCAATTCACCTGGCGGACAGCAAAAAAGTTGGGTCTAAAACGTTTTTCGCATGTGAAATGTTAAGTCTTGGACAGGAGTAATTAGTCGTACCATGGCACTTAGCACTCGAGTTACATAGATAGGGTTCCTTCTCCCTGAGTAGTCTTTTCCAGGATTTCTTAAACATTTGGGATTCATGTCCAGAATCCTCAGACAAATATCCAGGATTCCACTTTCGAACTGCAAACACAACAAATGCACTTAATGAATGTTTGGCTGTGGGAAGGTATGCTGTAAATGTGGGAAAACAAAACCAAGCTGGATATTTTCAAGAAGTGTAAAAGCAGCACAGTTTATGCACATATAAGTTTTGTAGCGTTTTAGAAATCCCATAGGTTATCTTGTAAGAGCATATTTTCCTCTTATCGTAATGACTCTTATGGAAACTCATTCAACACTCTGACAAAACTCCTGGCTGATCTGACTGATTGTTTAGGGTGATAAGGAGAGGGTAACAGAGTCAGTGTTGGTGTTGGTACCTGGCCAAAGTTCCAGGGAGTGGGTATGATGTGTTTGCTGCTGCCTCGAAAGATGATCCCATCCTGAGAAAGCACATACTCTGCCAGATTCTGCTCGTTGTCCATATACACTGCATCCGCTGTTGCCAAGACACAGCACAAACAATGTCCCAAGGTGAGTTCAAACTGGCAGACTTTTGTTTTAAACAAATTCCTAAGATGCTTCACTGCAGCTTATTATCAATCAATGCACCAAGTTTTGGCAATTATTATTTTTTTTTATGATTTATTATCCCCTCTTCTTGCCAGGTCTAATCCTTAACACACACTGGTGTGAAACATGATCATCTAAGCTCCACTAAATCCTCTGCTTGACAGACATGTCCTCCCTCCCAGATGCAGGCATGCTTACCCACCTGGACACCAGGGATTAAACAGAAGAATGAACTCAATCTTCTCTGATTGGCCCAGGGTAAGGGTGTAGCGTCCAATAGGAGCTTTGGGAGACGAGCAGATGGACAGGGCCACCATGTCTCCAGGGGGGCTGGTTACCGTAGCGCTCCAGGTGGAAGTGTCGATGCTAGAAGAGAGACCAAAACGGGCCCTGGTGCCATACTGCTCAGAGGGCTGAGGACCTGAGAGCAACCAAGGAAACAGTTAATTAGAAAGAAGAAAGCAAATCTTTCAAAATTGTTTGCAACTTCACCAGACAAGCTCCTGAATTTAAACATCTGTGCACATGTGTGCTGTAAGGTTTCTCCATAATGTTCATCGGTGGGTGTGGGGAACCACAGACCCGTTCACATGGAGTTGGTTTCTAAGCAACCCATGACATTTAAGAGACTGTAAGCCACGTTTAGGGGCATGTATATATTTAAGTCTACAATTAATTCAAACTGGTGAAAATAAATTCTAACTTGTGCCTTGCAGTTTTGCAATATAAAACTGTGTGTTGTGTATTACATCCAGGAATAAATGGCCAAATTTAACATAACATCTGTGTCCATGATGAGTGTGTACAAATATGAATAATGTACATTTGATTAAGGTTTTTAGGTTTAAAGCATCTGTAACTATTCGGACATTCATTTACAGCACAGAGGTGCCATAAATAACCGATAAATGCTTACCCACTAAACTTCAGAGGACTCTGGAAGATCTTCCAGCAGTTTTGTCAACTAAAGCAACTTTGCCTTTGGCTTTGCATTGCGATATTCTTCCTGACTTGAATGGAAAAGCCAACTTGAATCCATCAGAATACAGCTGCGTTTTAAGGCCCGATAGCATTATCTGTGATTATACACACTTTCCGTCCGACAGCAACATTTCCTGATATCACTGTTGAATTGGGTGGTTTGCAGCTGTTGCCTTATCAGGCTTTTTGCAAGAGACAGATAGGTTTTTCTTTTTTTAATTCAGAAGACCAATGCAATGTAAGAGCTATGCTTTCCAACAATAACAGAAGAGCCTGATTACAGTCATACACAAAAAATGCTGGAGGGCTTGACTTTAGCAAAGGAAGTACAGCACAATGCACTAAAGATGAAAAGTGAACACATTCAGAAGCACCTCTCATGTTTGGACTAGAATGCTTCCCGCTGCTGCTCCCTTTCCCTCTTCATATTTAAACAGGCTGCAAAGGAAATTAACATAAACAAACACACCCAGCAATAAGTGGGCGAGTGCACTCACTTCCCGAATGAGAGGAAGTAACCTCGATGCTTTTTCACCAGAGAGGAACACACTTGTACAATCCATAATTTAAATTAATCCATACATTTTTTTTTAGATGAACAGCAACTATTTAAATTGAAAGACTGCACCTGTTTCTGCGATGCAGTCAAGAGAGCTGATGCCCGGCTGGTAGCTCCCAGACCGAAGGTACAGGCTGATGGTGAACGGCTGGCCTCTCCGGACGATGAGCCGATCCACTCCGTTGAGGTCGGTGCGATGGTCCGTGTTGTTGAACAAGCACTCCGGGTTCCAGCGCTCAATGTCCAGAGCTTAAAATAAAGCAAGCATCAGTAGCTCAAAGAGAAGTATTTTTACTACAAAAATGTAAAAACGCATACTAAACAGTGGCTTTTATCTGATTCTATCATATTAATATTTTTGGCAATTTTTTGTTTGTTTTAAATTAAGTCAAATTTTGTTTTTCTATTAACACGCTGTTGTTGTGATGTCCTTTAATTGACCTCATATAATAACACATAAAAAAATGTTGCTGTAAAGTCAGTGTGTTTACGTAAACCAATCACACCGCTGCAGCTGAATGCATCTGGCTGTGGCGGATGGGAAGTTTCTAAGTGGACTTAGCGGATAGAAAAGGAGTCTGACTTTGAACGTGACACGGTTGTTATTTCCAGATAAGAGTGCTTCAGGAACTATTGATCTGCTGGGATTTTCACTCACAACCATCTGTGGAGTTTTCAGAAAATGGTGTGAAAAAAACCAATTACATCCAGCAACCAGCAGTTGTGTGAATGGCTTGGCCCTGATGTCAGAAGTCGAGGGAGAATGAGAGTCCTGGTTCAAGACAATAAAGAGGCAACAGAAATCAAAATATGTTGGATGTCATCTCTGAATCTACAACACAGTGAACCCCGAGACTGACGGGCTTCAGCATCAGCAGGCTACACATGGCGCCACTCCTGTCAGGGAAAAACAGGAAACTGCAGTCACAACTTGGAGGTTTTCCAAAGTTGGATAGTAACAGATTGTGCAACAGATCTTAATGTCCAATTCAATATTCATATGCTAGACTTAGATTTTGAGGGATATTTTCTTAAGAGATCCTTTTAGCACCATAGGCTGCCTCAGTATTATTGTTGCTGACCAGGAAAATGTCAGTCCAAAAGAGCATATGTTATCACATAACATAAGGCAGTTTTGAAGGCAAAAGGCAGCCCAGGTAAGGATTATATTCTTAGAAAAAATGTCATAAACTTTAGTTCTATAATGTAGAATCTTTATTACTTAGTGTAGTACTGTCCTGATGAGCACGGTTCATATAACTCATTGTCACTCCCATTTATCATTGCTGTTAATTCATAACAATCTCTTCTAATTTAGACATGATGTGGTTGCATGTTAGGATTTAGTGTGAGCTCTTCAGATCAGATACATAACCACCAGCTTGTTCGGTTATTTACTATTCATTAAGATAATTTAGTTTCTGCTTGATTCAATAGGAGCTAAACACGGACAGTGTCTCCTTTCTCCAGGGACCTCGCTAAAACACACAGAGTCCCACCCAAAGGATAGTTGTATAAACAAGAGGCTATAGTTCTCTTGTGTAACACCTCCACAGATGGAAATGCATGTCAGAAGGCTAGACTTTCGCCACTTACTAAAGCCCAGATCTTCGCTTCAAGTCCCTGTTATGATGTCAAGCCTGGGCTAGACTTAGTTGCGCTACAAATGCTTCCTGCTGCTTTACGTAAGTTAATTAAGAAACATTTCTGGGAAGTAGTCAGTGTTTAATCTTGGCCTTCATCAGAAACAAAATATACACAGGATGGTGTTGGTACAGTGTTCCAGATCACAGGGCTTCAACATTTCCCCCTCCGCCCCCGGGAAGACCAAACTGATGGAGAGATAAAGCAAGAACCCTTAATGACCCTTAGTATATTTAGACTAGATTTAGTACTACATAAAACATTTAACAGAGTGGACAGGTTTCTGTACACTTAATGTGTGTATTTTTGACTAAAATACATTATTTTATGCCTCCTTTCATCAACTTGTTACTTGTTGTGGACATGTTAATGTCTATTTGAAGACATAACTTTGAAAAGATACATTTAAAAAAATGGTAATGAGAAACTGTACCACTCCTCCATCAATACCTCAGTGCCCGACTTGGAGATGCGACTCTTACACTGAAGACTTCTTTTCTGGATCATTGACCAGCAGGGGAAACGTGGGCCGCACCTCTTTTTTTATGAATTTCAAGTTTTTAAAAAGTGAACACATTTTTTTCATCTGAGCTTCTGTAGATTGTGATTAATAAACAGAATTTCAGAATTTTAATGGGAAATAAACTTAAATTTAATTGGAAATTTAGGTTCCAATTTAGGTTTTTATAATTTAAACCGACTACTTTACTCGCAAGTAGTCGGTCTATCATATCACTAATATGATAGTGTTAATATTTCTTTCTTTTTTCTTTTTCTTTTCTTTTCTTGTTGTCAACTGGTCTGCTTTAAAAACAGAAAACTCTTTTCTGAGCAAATTTATGACTTGGCATGTGTACCCATGTTCTCCATTGCTGGTTGATAATTTCCACCACAGGACATGATTGTCTTTCCTGGGTGTTCCTGTAATAACCTGATGACCTATCCTGCCTCTCACTCATTAACTATTGGAGACATACAAAATCAAAACCCTCCCCCCTTCACCCAAATGACTCTGGAAGCATTAAGTTGCTATAGAATATTACCCGTACAAGCACTTTGTATTGCTTTGTTGCTGGAAATGTGCTATATAAATAAAATTACCTTTACCTAGTTTAATAATCGATTTTATTGATTATCCTTTTCAACCCACGTTTTTGTAGCCTTACGTTTAAACATGAACCATGTTAACCCATAATCCAACACTTTAATGTTAAATACAACCAGAACTAGATTGGTCCATGTTTGACCCAAAAGTAGGTTGACATGCTATATTGAGTTATTTTTTTTCTTGCCTCATAGTTTTAAGAGTGTGCTGCTCAATTAATAATGTATGAAGGAATGCCCAAGATGTCTGAAAAAGGAATGAAAAACAGATGCCCAACTTTCTGAAGAGATTTATGTCCATTGTTGGTAATTAAGAAGAAAAAACACAACACAAGGCAAGCGCTGGCTGCCAGATGGTGCACATTTGTGATTCAAAGTGGAACCTTATGCATCCTTGACTTGCAGCTGAATCTATAGGGATACTTCACTACCAGAACGGATTATACGAGGAGAGATTCCTGAGATTCCCCACCTTCTTCTCTGTGTGCCTGTGCCTCTCCTGTCGCTCCTTAAACCCTGACCCCACAGCACAAAAAGGGCTCTGTCATCAGCAACACTTGGTTCAGTATGAGCATTAAAGGGAAATTAAATAAAGATGACCTAACATGGTAGCAAGGACCAAAAAGACTATTTTAGTCCAGGAAACACAAACAAGCAAACACTCTGATGTGAATGAAGTTTTCAGTCTCACAGGTAACACCCACTCAGACTCCAGGTCTACACCACAGGCACTTTTTAAAAATACAAATAAATACTTCATTCGTGTGGAAAACAGGTGTCACTTGTGACGCCGTAAGGCTGTTTAGCAACAATTTGTTGACTGAAAATGTGTTGCGGAGGTGGAAATAAGTGTACAAACAGGAAGAAAAACAGGCTCCGTTTGCTTTTCAGAAGTTCTCTGGTGACAACATGAAAAACAACATTGACAAAAAAGCATCCAGAGTTCTATGAGACAGTTATTTACCTCTGGCTCCAGCTTGACGTCTGGGTGAAAATACAAACATGAAGAGTTGCTCTTTGAATATTTCTGAATACCTTCACTGGGGGTCTAACGCAGATCATTCTGGATGGGCCCGCAAATATAGAGTCAATTAGCGGCAGCTCAGAGCTGCACCTGTTTTCAGAGGCTATTATAATCTCAGAGCAGCTGTTGTCTACTTAAACATCAAGCTGAAATATTTTGTTATGCTTTCATGTCAGCAAGACCTTTCCTTCTAGCTGTGTGCTGCTGGACCGGACCATGCAGAATGTGTTTGATTCTTGATGACAATAAGATGGCTTTGTGAGTGTTTAGGTCACTGGCAAACTTAAACACACTGTTTTACGTCACAAGAGTAGAGGTGAATGATGTGGATTTAAATTTTAACCATGATGTGCTGTTACCATTATGCTAATGATGAAAACAGTGATTAAAAACAATTTATTGCTTATTTTGTGGGTGACTGTTTGGCTGTGAATGCATGGCAGAGCATTCAAAGCACCACAAACACAAATCCTGCTCTCAAAAAACATTCATCTTTGAAACAGGCTTCTTCAGATCTGGACAAAGTAACTTCATTTGATCATGTTTTAGAATTTAATGATATTTATTGACGCGCTGGAGATAATAGAAATACTTAAATCTCTGATAATATTGTCAGTTTTGGGGGTTTTAACACCATTAATTGGAATTTATTGAGACAACGATAAATCAAAAATTATCATTATAATGATATGAAATTTATCCTGATAGATGATAAACAATATGACAAATGATCACCAAGAGTTCATCTAGTATTACAGTACGTATGTTGTAAGTGGCCATTTCAAGAGTGTGACTTGCACAAGAAATCAAAAACCAAAAACATTAGTAATGAATAAAATTTTATATATATTAAAAAAAAAAAAACCTAAGTCTGAGATTGGTGTTTTTTTATAGTTATTTTCTAGTATGAAGCAGAGTTCTCTCCTTTAATTATTGCTGGATTTTGCTCCACAACTGCTTGTGGTGTCTGTTTGGTTTCTGCTCACTGGAAATGTTTGCATTACTTCATTTAAACTGTTTGCAAACAGCAACAGTGGTTTATTTTGTAAAACAATGAGAATATTCGAGGTGTAGTGACGACTCGCTGTGAGATGACTGAGACAGAAAAAGAGGGTGGACTCATTGGGTACACACTACCAGTCAAACATATTTACTACTTGCAGGAAGCAGAAAGTGGGGGGAGAGCCAGCAGGGTTACAGCCCAACTTTGAACAAGACAACTCAAAGAGTGACGTTACACAAGTCCAGGCAATAAAACACTTTTCTCTAAACAAATGTTCTCAAACGTGCTTTTAATCATCAAGGAAAACAGAAATAATAGATAACAGTTCAACTTGAACAACTTAAGTCACACACGACGAGAAAAATCTGCACATGCAGCACAGCTACAGGCTGCAGGAGCTTAGAAAATTAGCAGGTTAAAGCCATCAGGCTGTTGCCTGTCTAACTCTTTATTGAACATTTTCTCATATTCATAGATAATTATTATAATCATTACGTAGAGCGAAAACCACATATCTAGATACCCCACAAAATATTATTTTCCCAAATGTTGATGTTTTAGATTAATTAGTTTTACCAAAATAATTTCTATTGGCCTAATACTGAAAAATAAATGAGACTGAATTTATAAAAAAGAAAGAAAAAAAAATATTCATACATTTCTATAAGACGACTATGTCTGTGAACAATTTGGGAAATCCAGATGTTGATGATGTCATGACACTGTGAGCTTCTAATAGGCTATTTCGCAACAATGAAGTTTATTGGATGTGGACGTATTTACGTTTTGCAAACAGAAATATTTGTAGTTCTACTGATCCAAACTAATCTGATTTCATATCGGGCAGTGAGAAAACAAAACGTGTCTTCTACTACAGTCTGTAAATCTGACTTAAACTGGGAAATTTCTTACTTATAATTAAAACATGATCTGTTTTCTGCTAATAATAAGTTTCTGTACATTTTTCTTTCAAACATAAAAAGTTCATATCGATCTGAAAACTTTCGCGTCAAACCTAATTGCGCTTACACTATCAATCAAGACGTCATTAAACCAAAAGTATGTCAGCGGTGCCAAGAATCAACCAATCAGCGTTAGCTTGTAAGTTTATGTTGCTTGCAACCAGTAAAGCAAACGCATTCAAGCAATCTAGGCTTGTGACATCACTTTCTAAAAACCAGATTAAGTTAGATTTAACCAAAGCGTCCAGATGCATTTCCTTACCTTGCGCCATGACTGCTGCGGTGCTTTTCAAAGTCTGAGGTTCTGTTTGAATGAATGTCTTGCTTAGTGCAGAAAGCGAGATGCCTCTCTGCTGTTATCTCGGTCTTATATTTAACCCTCCTTGTACCAGTCAGAGAAAGGGGGTGTGACACAACCCTCATTAAACCGGAGAGGGGGGAGGAAAAAAAAAAAAAAGACGACCCGAGGCGAGACTTGGCTGCATTGCGCACACAAACTGTATGCAATAGTGATTCACTCACCTCCTCCCCATCAGATAAAGTAAAGTCTGTCAAATGTTTTTTTCGCTGGAAGCTTCAATGCACTTTTTGACAAACACTCACTCGGACCGTTTCTGCATCATCCAGAAATTAAACATGAATGAGGACATACACATAAATGAGTTAAAAATGATTTCTTTAAACGCCTCCTGTTCCTCAAAGACTTGTACTCGAAATGTGTTTAAAGTTGTTTTATATTTTTGAAAGAAAAGCATTTTTGTTGCAAGTGCCACAATTTCACTTTTTTCATGTTAAAAAGTGAAGTTTTTAACGTGAAACTTAAAACTTTCACGTTTTAGTTTCTCTTTAGTCAAAACTAGAGAGATTTTAGTTTTGACTAAAATCTCTTTAGTCAAAACTAGAGAGATTTTAGTTTTGACTAAAATCTCTTTAGTCAAAGCAAAAATATCTGTAAAGTACAAATATCGATGTTTTTCCTAATTTTATCATAAATCTGGAAAGTGCGCCATGCATTTGTTTTTATACAAATGCAAGTTTCTCAGCCGCATCGACATAGATGGATTTTGCAAAACTACATGGAAACATTTTTTTTTTTTTTTTTGCATCAGTGTCACGTAATCAACACCCGGATGTTACTACTGTCGGAAATGATGAAGAGGAAGACAGGAAGTATTAGGATGATTATTAGTTTTTTTCCTGACATGTGCCACTGGTTGCACCAGACCTCTCACAGCATTGCACAGTTCATAAAAACTTGTGTGCCATTCATGCGTGTGGACTCCAAATCTCTTCTGTAAAATCACTGACTACAATTTCCCCAAAATGCCGCATAGGTAGCCATTCCCAAGTACAAAGGGTTTGTCGCTCCAACACCTGAATAAGGTCTTGCCTCACTACAACACATAAACCATATCCTTCCCGACTGGGAGGATATGATAGGCATTCGCAAGTTGATTATATATAACCACCTAATCAGATGAACATGTGAACAAAACTTCTATATTTCTGTTTGCTATGGATTTTGGTTTTGGTGAATCACCCTAAGAGTACATTATGTAGGCACAACTGGATTTAATAGGGGTTTTTTTGTTTGTTTGTTTGTTTGCTTTTCATTTTAATTTTACCCATAAAATAATCTCTTTTTTTTTTTTTTCCTGTGTAGTGCTTCCTTTTATTTGTTAAATTATCTGCTATCACAATGTTTCAGTTAGCAGATTCTGGAGACAGAAAGCAAACATGAAAACATTCCTTCACTTCATTTGTAAAACATGTTCAATAAGTAAAAATGGTTTCTTCTGAGGATTTTGCAGCACTTTTTTTTTTCCATGTGAGGTCAAAACTAAAGTGTGTTTTGCTCTCTGTGTGAGCATTTTGGCCTCAAAGTTGGCCTTCATGCCAAGGAATGTTAAAAAGACCAAAGATCAGACCAAAATAACACAGTGAGGATTTTGTTTTTTGTTACTTGGATGATCTGGATTGCTCATGAAATTTTAAGAATGTAAGAAAAGAAAGAAAGAAAAACAGAGATAATTTGGAAATATGCACATTTATTTATTTATTCATATCCCTTGAACAATATATTTTCTTGAGGTTTTCTGTGATAGGCCAACACAAGGCAGCACATTGTGATTCAATAATTCATTTCTGATTTGTGTTAGTATTTTTTTCTTTTATTTCTGCATTGCGTTGTTCTACCACATTAAATAATAAACATCATTCACTAAAATATGTGGTTCTACTTTGACAAATTGTGAAAAAGTTGGAGGAGTTTGAATGTTATTGCAAGGCACTGACCGACTTCATCAGACACTGTCAAAACTTCTTTTTTAGATTTAATGGTGCATTATTCTCACAGCACCAGATTTAGAAGATATTTGTGGGAAAACCAATAATTCCCATTGTTTTGCTGATATGAATGTGCTGATGCTTTGAAGTATGGTCTCTCTTGTTTAATGAGATCATAAGTCTAAAGATAATTTTATTGTGTATGGATTGATACTAATAATAATAAAATTTTGCACAGTCAACTCGAGCTGTCTGCTATATTGATCGCTCATCAATATGTCCATCTATGACAGTTTCCTATATCACTCAAAAGGTCTTTTTGAATCTATACACCTTGATAAACATCTATATCTAATTATATGCACCCAGTTGTTGGACTAAAATAGAAAAAATGTTTAACAAACCATAAACTGCTTCTTGGGTTGTTTTTTTTAAATCTGTAATAAGTGTAGAATATTCCAGTCCAGGCTTTACTAATCTATAGAATGTGATTAGCTCTCAGGTCTTAATTTCAAAAATTGCAAAAGAAATGCTTCCTGTTTGTTTTTTTAAATAGAATAAATTCTTCTTCAGTATGTTTTATACCAAATGTCAGTCTAATAAGATGTCTTTCTTTTTGTCAGGTCTACCAACATAATAGGGACATTGAAAAATTACTTATTTCAAATGTCTCAAATGTATACACAACAACATCTCAAACTAAAAGCACTAAACGTCTTGTACTGGGCTCATAACAATACAGGGATGTGAAAAGCATTTTAGATTTCCTCTGTTTTTAACTTTGTCACACTTAAAGTTTTTATGTCATCAAATACAATTTTGTATCAGACAAATGAAGTAGGAAATAAAGTAGGAAACTGACAGCACAATGGTGCGGCGTCATGACTTAAGAGAAATTTCTGGAGTGTTTCAACGTTGCAAAATGTTATTACATCCCTATTAATTATCGTTCATGTTGAAACTGAAAAAAATAAATAAATAAAGACTCAACCCTGGCTGATACAAAAATGTTATTTTTTATTACAAAACACCGAAATGCAAACACAAAAAACTTTGTGGGAATATTTTTTGTGATATAAAAAGCCAACACATTATGCACTATCTACTAGTAATGCAGTTTAAATGGGCTGAAAATGGAAAGAAATACTTTCAAAATAAAAGCAATTTTATATCAAATGTTAAACACCAAGTTATAATATTTATGCCAACAGAATTATTACATAAACAAAACTTATTTTTTATTACATGTTTTCAAGCCACTGTGCAATTAACTGCAGCACTGCAATACGATAACCTGACTGCATTAATTTTATGATCTACATCTAAACATATCTGATTAGAACAACTAGAAATCACATGGCTTTATTTTATGTAAAGTCATACTGTATGCATTTCAAAATCAAGATCAATTAAGATACATTTCTAAGTGATTGCTTTAGTGGTGATATAAAAAACTGTTTTTATATATATATATAAAAAAAAACTATTTACAAACTTGTAACAGAATATAGAAACAGCTGGAAACGATGGTATGCTCCACGAGGACTTACAAGTCAACTGGAACATCCTCTGAAGTCGAACTTCCAACTCAAATATTTGAGGTTACTCACTAACTCAAACTCAAAATGTAAAATGATTGGTACACTTATAAAACGTAAAAGTGGCAGTAGTAAATAAATTGCGTCCATTGTTTTGTATCTCGTTAAATCAGTTGGATATATAACGGTGTCCAACATCTATTTGTGAACGCATCCCTTTAGTGCGTGAATGAATAAGACACAAAGAAATATTTATTTGTCATCCGTAATGGTGGTAGTGGTTAACCTGATCACTGAGTATAATAAAGTTCCCACTGGTTTTCCGTCTTGCGGTGAGGTGTAAAGTCCTTCCTCGATCTGACTTCCAAGGCTCCTGGGTGCAGCAAAAACAAATTTATTCAGGGCTGAAGACCTTCAGTGAGCGTTTATTTGTTTTTAACCTCTGGAGAAAAATGAAACACAAAAAATACAACCAAAAAAAAAAAAAAAAAATTATTTATGTAAAATTCAAAGTGCAAATAATAGTTTAATCCCTGTTATTTGTGTTCCAGTGGCACAATTTGATCTCCAGAGAAGATTTTTTTATTTATTTTTATTTTTTTGAAGAGTCAAAAGATTCAGCTGATAAAGATTTACTCAAGTCTGGATCATCAACAGAAGCCAAATCCAGCCAGCTGTCGACTCTCTGTGCTGCCATTTGATCACTTTAGCTGCACATTAATTGACCTCTTGGGTCAGCTGATCCTTTATATAATTAAAAATAGTTTAAATGTGACAGCGACGTCAAAGCAAAAGTAAAACGATGCATATTTTACATCCATCAGAATATACATATTAAACTACACAAAAATAGACTTAATTTCCCCTCCGTCAGACCAAAGTACCATTTTGTTTAATACATCAACACACTTGTCAAGACAGGGGACAGTGTGACGGCAGTTTCAAGTATCATTTCTATGTTATACTTACTTTAAACTGTACCGCATCTCACAGATCAAACCTCTGTAGACTTTCCAGCACTTGTGCTTTCAGCCTGAAAGATTCATAATTTAATTTTAATCACGCCATCTTTTAAACTGTGTATTTAGTAATATAGACACTGCAGGCAAATACATTTCATTGTATTGTTTTAAACCATCTGCAGAGTAAATTAAAGGCGTCACACCTTGCTGTCAGGCAGATCCTCGGTCTGCTGCTGCTGCTGCTGGAGTTTCATCCTGGGGGCTGCTGGTGATGGGCTGCTCACTGCAGATTCTTGAAGAGCGTCTGGGCTTTGGGAAACGGACAAAGCTTCGGTGGAACGAGCAGATCCGACTTCTTTCAAGGTGATGATCGAGGCGCAGACAGAAGAGCTGTCGTCCATCTCTCCCGCAGCGGAGCGGCAGCTGTGACTGCAGCTGCTGAAACCGCTCACGCTCTCTCCCGACGACTCGGAGCTGTCCACTGGAGGACGGAGAAACACGCGGAGGAGTTTACCGATTGGTTTTACTTTGGCGTTAGCAAAACCTTCTACCTTGACAGAAACAAGTCTTGCAAAGGAAAACCCTTGCCTTCGCACTAGAAGTAATAAGCCAGATCTTAAGGTTGCTAA